AAATTTTAGCTAGAGTATTGTGCAGGAACTTCAAACTTGACCCAGGACCTCATATGTGTTCTGGCTTTCAGATGCCATGCAAGGTTACAGACTTTAAATACCTTCTTGGGCAGGGCCAGTGTTAAAAGCAGACAGTGTGCTAGGCTAACCTGCCATAGTATCGATACATCTATTACAACACTGTCTGAAGTTGCAATCGCTGGAAGCAAACAGCCCCTGGCAGTGGCCCATGACACTATTCTTAACACTATTCTTAACATCAGGCTGTAGAAAAAAGGTTGAGAAACACTTCAAAACCCAGCATTAAAGGAGAGACAGAAAGATTTTCGTTTTAGAGACTACATGAAAGTTCTGCCTCGTGGCGAACAACTGTAACTATAACGACATGCACATCAGAATGCAGTATTATAATTAAAGGTCAGGGTATGCAGAAATCATTATTTACCGTTCTCTCCTTTAAAACTCTGCTTTACTTTTCACACCTAAAGGAAAAATTTCTTATCTTGTGCAATTCTTCAAGAAGCCAATTACACACTTGAGCTAAACAAAATGCATATTAACTTAGTCTACCATACATCCAGAGGAACTCGAGGTGTCCAACTTTCTATCAGAAATTTCATCTGGTAGAAAGAAAGAAAACCTACTGTTTGCAATTAGCAGGTATTGGGACAAAATGGGCACGTGTGTTGTCCTTGTTACCTCATTTTAGTGCATCTCCTAGGCATTTATGATCAGTAGCATATATTTCTATCTGGGAAATCCACAAAGAAGTTTTTGCATATTAGGAGTGCCCCTTGCTATACAGACATGACAAACCATTTATTAATCCAGGTAAAATAATGGCACAATGTAAGTATGACTGGTGAGCTCAAAAGCCTCTTTTCCCACACTATATTACAATAACCTTGTTATCCAAATGCAGAAGAAACAAAATAATTTTAAAGGAGTAGGCTTGCTGTATTTAATGAAACAAATAATGAAGAAGAGATAAAGCTATATAATAACTTTTCAAAATAAAATATATGGTACAGGAAAGAGCAACAACAGAAGAATCAGCAATAAAAAATCCCAGTGCTACAGAGACTTCACCATGGTCATACAAAAACCCAGCAGGCTCACACATAAGTAATGATCTAAAATAATTTCTATGTGCATGTCACTATTTGAATTCATAGAGACACATTTGCAGAGCATTTGCTGATGAATACTAAGTGGTTTGTAGTACAAAGACCAAGCCCAATTAAGTTAAACTTACGTATTATATTTTTGCATCTATGCAAAATTTCACAAACTTCAGTTTAGCCTTAAAGGGTTGTAGAAATTTCTTCTACTGTGAACAACTAGGTCTTACTGGAGGATCTGTTCCCTAATATAAGCTTAATAAAAACATATATATAAAGTATATATATATATATATATATATATATATATATATATACACATGTACATATATGCATTTAACACTATGAAAACCCATTTTTTCCTTGCACAACAAATTTTCAGTGAATAGTAAAACATTTTGTATCAGATTTTAAGGTTGTTACAATTTGGCAATTCCCTCCACTGCACTCAGCTCATGATCTTTTTGCAAAAAGAAGAGATTACCATACATACTCACTGCCTGAACTGAGGATTCAAAGTAACACTGTCCACTGAAATGTCAGGCTTGTTTAAAGAGTGCTACTAACCCCAGTTTTAAAAGTCATATTCAGAAGTAACTGAACTAAGCATTCTTTAAATAATATACTGTAGTTGTTCACAAGGTTATCTAATCGCCGGTTATTTATCACAGTCTTTTCAGGCAAGAAAATTTGACTTATTATCAAAAAAGCAAACCCTACATTTATTACAAATCACCAATTGCATCCTCTGTGTCCGTTTTAGGTCTGATTTTAGGAAAATGTTAAGGATCCCTGTTTTGACGTCCAAGATTTTTTGCAGAATGATACCAATATTTTAGCAAACTTTACCTATAGCATAAGCATATAATTGCTTCAAAAAGGTATGGGCAAGGTGAATATTCTGAAAATTTAACTTCCACAAAGACGTAACCATTTTCAAAAAAGATTTCCCGTCCTAATTCCTATTAGCTGTCTCATTTTCAAAGAAAATTTGGTGGAAAAACTACCATTTTTAAAACTACCATTTTATCTCAACAGTTTCTTCTAATCAAAATCCTGCAGCAGATACAAAATTATCTATCAGAACATGTCAGCCAAAAGATCCTCTTAGCTCCATTCCTTTGCCTCTGAGTTTCACCATCTTCCCTATCCCAAGAGAATAACAGCTTGAGCAGCTTAATTGGGACATTGTAGAAGTTGGAGGAAGCAGAATGTATTTCTTCCTCCATTACTAGCCCAATAATTGAAATATATTTCCCCTCACTTAGAAACCAGGTTTCTTTTCAGTAACTCATCTTACAAATCTCTAACAAATTTTGTTTATCCCAGGATTGTGTTCTTCCTGAAGTTTTTACTCTATATTTAATAATCTTTACTGAATATTTAATTAATCATATACTTAAATGAACTCTAAGCATCAGCATAAGTTTCACTAGGACAAAAAGAGGAGACAAATCTGAATATTGTTGGCAATATAGAGTGGGTGGGATGACAGCAAGTGTGAAAGAATGTATTGATGTGAGGGATGATTCTGGCCTCTTAAATTTGTAAAGAATGAGTTGGCTTTGATTGTCATCTCAATTCATTATAGATTTTTAACACTTTTTGATAAATTTTTTTTGCATCTGAGTTGGAACTGATTCAAATTGGAAACTGAACATCAGGCTATGTTCTTGTCTAAGCTATAAATGAGTTTCACATTAAGACTCCTCCCCATCTTTGCCAAGCTTATTTATGTATTTGCAAGAGTGATGGCAAAAGCAACAACCTACCTCAGGCAAAAGAGCCTGTGTGTCTGTCAATATTTGGGTGATGGGCCTATAAAAGGTTCATTAGAACAATCTGCCCTGAAGCAAAAGAAGATACCATTCATATCAGCCAATTGTGCAACTCAAAGTACTGAGTAAATCCAGCACTGGGGCTCATACACAGGCAGAGACTACAGGTAGTCAGAATATTTTCCATAAAATGCAAGTTTGTGAGAAAAAAAAAGTGTTCTGTACAGATAAAAAGTTTTTCATAAAGATCTCATGGAAAAGGTGTTGGGATACATGAGTTGCTTTATGGCCATGAGAAAGACTAACAATCTCCCATTTAGTCTCCCTTTGTTCTACCCACTAAAACTTAGACAAGTTACAAAAACACTACAAGTTTTATTTTTACTCCATAGGCAATGAAGATAGGAGATAAAACCTTAGCAAGATTAAATGTTGTTCTCTAGATATCAGTCATGTATTATCTTTTTCTAAGTATGCCTAAGGATTTTAGCACTCCTGTTTCAAAGCCCTGTAAAAAAATGTGCCCATTGAAAATATATCTATGCTGTCAGGCTAGTGAAAGCTAGTGACTAGCATTAATAGTCTTTGGATCCAGGACTCATATCCTGTTATTGCTGATGTAAAAGTGGTAAGCCAGTTGGTTAACATATATTTTAAAAAAAACAAACAAAAAAAAAACAACAAAAGAAAACACAAACAAAAAGAACTTGTGACTGGTAATATCAATGGGTAAATTCTATGACATATGCCCTTACTTCACCCTCCCTACTGTAGGCCCTCATGAAAAAAAAAAATCCTAGAAAGCTAGCTAAGTTAATTTATAAGATTTGTCTTTATCTACAAAATAAGACCCTTGCTTCTCCTTACCCACATAACAGAAACTACAGCGAAAACCCCTCAGGGGATTACAGCTTCTTAAAGCAAACTTGTCAGTTTTAATTCAGGTTAGGTGCTCACATAACACAATCATGAAGAAACCAAATCAATTCATTACAGATGTTAATAATCCATTGGTAGGAATTTTCTTGGCCATACACACTTAACATTCATACGGATTAATTTTTGTCCAGGTTTTGGTGAGAAAGAGTTCATTTTCTTCCTAGTAGATGGTACAGTGCCGTGTTTTGGATTAAGTATGAGAATAATAGTGATATCATACTGATGTTTTAGTTGATGCTAAGCAGTGCTCACCCCAAGTTAATGATTTTTCAATTTCCCAGGCTCTGCTGGTGAGCAGGTGCACAAATGGATGGAAGGAAGCACAGCCAGGACAGCTGAACCTGAACTGGCCAAAGGGATATCCTGGACCACAGAGAATATTGCCCAATATATAAACTGGGGGGAGCTGGCCAGAAACTTCCAATCACTGCTCCGACACTTACTGGGCATTGGTCAGTGGGTGATGAGCAACTGTATTGTGTATCACTTGTGTTTCTTGGATTTAATTCCTCTTTCACTTTGTGTTGCATTCTTTTTCATTACCAATACCAATAGTAGTAACAGTAGTAGTAGTAATATACTTTATTTCAATTATTAAACTGTCATATCTCAACCCATAGGTTTTACCTTTCTTCCATTCTCTTCCTGACTCCACCAAGGCAGAGATGGGAGTGAGTGAGTGGCTGTGAGGTACTTAGTGGCCAGCTGGGTTTAAACCACAAAAATTCTACAGATACAAAATAGTTGTGATGAGATGGCCATCTGTAAATATACATATATATATATATATATATATATATATGTATCATATTATATACATATTTTAATTTTTTTTAATCGGTAATGTAGACAGTTCTCAACAAATGTATTGATAAAATTTATGTTTGATGGAGAACTGCACCATTTTTTGCCTGTGTGTCAGCACAATATATTTGCCTATACATATTCACCCATGTACATCCACATACACTTAATGTACGTCTGCATTATATATGTGTAACAGAGCATACAAATCTATGTATGGCATTTAAGTAATGATCTGACAAACGTTAGACACATCACATTAAGTGCTTAGCTGGGAATAACCTTTAGTTTGGCCTCAAAAACCTTTTTCTTTTCTGAACTACATGCTTCATATCTGGACCATGTGGAAGCATCTTACCTTGCTTCCATTTTCTCTTGCCTCCCGTTCCATCTTGAGATCAGAAATTAGGAGAGTCTTGTATTTGTTCTTTCCATTACTGCTGTGATCATCTAGTCTGTATTCTGAAGTCAGCTGAGCAGAGAGGGGACTGTCACTCAGGTTCAGAGGCTGCTCATCCTGCTCCAGATTTGTTTTGCCATTACTGTTGGTTTCTGCCATCTCCCTGCAGTGTGTTCCCCCTGAAGCATTGGAACTGTGTCCCACGGTCTCATTGCCATTAAAACTCTCTGCAGCTGAATCATCTATTAAAAAAGATATATTTTCAGTCACATGCTACATAATCATCTCTGTCCAGTTTAAACATAATTTATATATTCAGAATGTTGGGGTTTTTTTCAAAACAGAATGAGAACTGTTTATATTATTAGCACCAGCACATTTCTGCAAAAAGCACATACACACTCCTCCACCTTTTCAAGTAAAAGCTTTAAGTAAATCCATAAAATATCATTAAGTAGAGGGAAATTGTCTGGGCTGACACTACAGTACTGCTGTGTACATAAAGGATAATCACAAAGGATTTTTAGGGACAAAGCGATAAAGTTTGCCTTGATCAGTCTATCTGTCCATATGCCTATGGATCTATTTAGATTCTTAAACCATGCTCATTAGTGCACTATTACCTATTTCTGAAATCAACAGAGGTGCACGTGATACTGAGAATCTGAATCTCAGGTTTTAAGTGTGCAGAACAGCACATGTCATATCCATAAATATCCTCTTGCAGAGATACAGTGTAAATACATCTGATGTGTTCACTGCTGGCAGCAGAGATTAGATTAGAAGAGCTGATTCCAGAAACAATATCTTAATTTTGTTCACGTGCCCATTTACTTCTTTCATTCATTGTGTGTCATAATATACTTTAAAATACTGAAAAATAGTGGACTAAATTATAAACCTGAAAGTTCCATCCAAAAACTCTGGCTGTGTTATTGTTACCCTTAAGATTTTACAGCTGGATTGTATGATTAATGTGTGTCTTCACATCCTTATGGATTTGTGTATCCTGTTTTTGTCAGTACTGGAATCTGCCACCTGTGCTACCACACAGCCCTTCTTTACTTCTAAACAGTCTTTTGGCCAACAGGCTATCTAGTAAAACATTTTATTTTTCAAAGGAATTAAATGGCAGCAGAATTTAGCACTCAATATTCCCTCTTCTTGTTCTCTAAAGCACCTCTTTTTTTGCAATTTACACAGTTTTGCTAATGGTGCAAACACCTGCCCAGGGCTCTACAAGCATTCGCTTATTGCAGACTGTGAAGCTGGAAACAAAACTGGGGAGTCAGTAGTCAAGAATGCATTCAGATTGAAACTGGAAATATTGAATGAGGCGGAGTTTTATATGTTAGCACCTTAATATACCATCTTTTTTGGGCCCTTCTGAACAACTTCCATGTTGTTTAGAAAATAAGCAAACACATTTATATACATGAAGAATTTAAAAAACCCATCAGGGCAAGTCCTTTAACAGATGTGCTCAGAAACACTCATGCTTTAACTACATGATTAATCGAATTGTTGACTCACCATCATTATTACAGTAAAAAACAACTATTCACCACTCTCAGATGAGATTTTTAAAAGAAAAGGGAATAGTGGATAAATGGGTAGTGATCTAATTCAATTAAATACTTAGAATGCCAGAGACAAGCTATCATACATCGTTCTCTTACTTGCTGCATTCAAAAGACATTTTTATGACATAAATATATACAGGACTGGGCATGCAGTAGGAGCATATTTTTAAAAATTGCTTTGTTTTGTAAATCTATTTTAAAAAATCTGATTTCATAACATTACAGACTAAGAGTAATAATTTAAATAATTTTACCTAAGGAACAATTTTGTTGTTCCTCTGCTTTGGTATGTATCACTTTTACATTACCTTTTGGGAATATCAATGTGTATACAATAAAATACATGACATTCATAGAATAAGACTTTTAAATGTCTACACCAAACAGACTTGTAACAGAGCAATGTTGCTTGAGGATTTCATCTATGTAAGTGAATAAAAAGAGCAGGATTTATCCTTAATAAACCTTCTATCATGCCCTGAGACTTATGTCTTCAAGGCCATAAAGCATAAAAAAGGCTAAAATTCTAGACATATTGTCAGAAATAAATAAGCGGTTTTACTATTCCAAAATAGAAAATTGAAGTATAATACTTTAAAAAAAAAAAAAAAGAAAATAGATATATTTCCAACTTATTTTCAAAGGTCTGAGATAACAGAAAGAAATCCAGAGTTTTTTTAACAGAGACACTTTGATTGCTGTTGTATTTAGGACTCTTAACAGATAATTGGCTTCTTGATTAACAGTTTAACAAGTGACAGTTTCAAATTAATTAAATCAGTTACTGAATGGGTCACTGAGTGAGGGATGCTCTTCCCTTTGAAGGGCTCAGAAAATTCCCTGCTGTTGGCAGCAAAGACAGAAACAAGTGAGTAACCAGAGGATACAAAGAACCACCTAAAAGGTGGAGGCACTGCCCAGCAGCACACAAGTCTGGTCCCTTGGGAATTTCTGTGTGCTGGCACTCAAGTGTCCCAGCTCTTGCAGGGCAGAGCAACCACTACCAGGACAGAGACAGCTGAATGGGAATGATGAGAGCTGTGCTAGGAGCTAGATCCAGGAACAGCCAATTCTCAAGCACAGCTGTTAGTTTTGCCTAGCAATAATGCTTTAATTTCTCTTTTTGTTGCCCTGTATGACATATGGTTGACAACTAAATCTTACAAATGTGTGAGAATGTTGCAACACAGAAGAAAAAAATAATCTTATGTTTGTTCTAAAACATGACCACTCAAAAGAATTCCTATGTTGACTAATGTGATCAAGCATTATAGTATTCTGAAACAATAGAAAAGTTTTTATAAGATTTTTGCTTTTCTTAGCAAAAGCTTAGTTACTTGACAACAAATCTCGGTTTCCACTATAAAGTCAAATATCTTTTTTTACAGTCATTTAACCTTGGCTAGAGATGGGAACTTGTTTGTCAAGATAATGGTCAGGAGAATGGCTTCAATGAGTATGGTATAAATAGCACTTTTGCCAAGTAAACAGAAATATGTATTTCCATAAAAGAGATGAAGGAAAAACAGAACGTGGTTCAGCAATAGTTTCTTACAGATGTTACCAAGGTAACCAGATTACAAGGTTTAGTACATTCCTCCTCCCTGGGCAGCTGTCTATTTTTGCTAAGGATAAGGCTACTTTAAAGCAAGAGTTTCTCAGAAGGCATCATAAACACAGAACACATCAGGAATGACTGGGTTTGGGGGAAAAGGCAAGAGGGTCTCACCTAGGAGGGGAAGGTGAGGCTCATCTTTGGATACAGACAACCACAGCCCAAACACCTCCTGGCCACCCCTGGGTCTGCAGGCACTGCAAGCACTCTTGGCCATCCCATGGATGCCAAGGGGCAAGAACAGATCCATGGAGACCTGTCCCTTGGACCACGTTCTCCAATGGTGAGTGCCTCTGCCAAGGGCAGGAGGTGAGACCTTATCTCCTCACTGTGTCTGGTGCAACTGATGAGTGGGGCTGCACCTAAAGCAGAGATAGCATCAGGACCAACAGCTTGCTTGCAGTTTTCTCACCTTCATATATCACAACACCTCAGCAACAATCAACTGCTAATGCCAAAAGCCTCTTCTCTTACCAAGTGTTTTTTTCCCCTCTATCCAGCAGAGGCAGAGGCACAGTGGCTTGGGGAAAGCTTGGGGAAGAAGGGGCTTTGTCCAGCTATGGCCACTGGCCCCTGCTCCTTGTTGGGAACGCCATAGAGTTGAGGATCCCAGAGGTAAGGTCCACCCCAGCCTGGCACATGGGGCAGCAGCCATGAGCTTAGTGTAGAGCTGCCCTCCCACAGGAGACTCAGCAAACCACAGCATTCCTCTCTGGGCTCACTTTGGCCCCACTGCCAGTCAGAGGGCACTCCAGCCTCCCTTCCCACAGCTGGCCAATAACTGCAGTATAAAACTCAACTCAGGCAAGGGCAGCACATTTTCACATCCTATCTCTTGTCTGAACCACCACTGCAGGGTGAATTTTATGGAAAGACCAACAGAGAAGCCTGCCACAGGCACTGGAGCTGAGAAAGGGGGGAAGCAAAGGGGCCCCATGCCCTGCATTGGGTATTGGGGCAGTCATGAAAGAAGCTGTAGGATAAGCTCACATCTTCATCATCACCCAGGACTGCTTTTATCCACAACTATCAGCAATGACAGAAAATCAACCATCAAATGCTGCTTGCTCAGGGCAGGACATGTCTTTGAGAACTGTGCTGCTGTCAAACCCTTATCCAAGAATGCTGGAAGACTGGAAGTAAATCTACAACGGGTTTTGTTATGTAAACCTGAAAAGGGAGAGTCTGTCTGCAAAATACTTATTCACTTCTGTAAACAGTGAACTGGGGCCTCCTTCACCTATGCAGAGTTCCTCTTCCAGGGATTAAAGAGCATCAACCTTCAGCAAAACACTCTAAGAGCAGAGGAAAGGTATCTTTGGGTCAGGCAGCAGCCACCTTCTTGCTGAAGCATAGGGCACTCTCTAGGCTTAGGCACGGACTTCTCACTCATGGACCAATATTTCTTAAACCTCTTGGTGCCAACACCTCCTTCTTCCACCTTGCCCACTGCTCCACACTGATCTCTTGCTCTGATCTGAACAACACCCTCTGGACACCTTTAGTCCAAGTATTCGCCATGTCAGAGGTAATCGATAGAACAAGGGATAATGGCTTTAAACTGAAGGAGTGTACGTATAAATTAGATATCAGGAAGAAATGCTTTACTGAGATACTGGAAAAAGTTGCCACGAGAAATTGCAGATGCCCCATCTCTGGAGGCGATTAAGGGCACAGTGGATGGTGTCCTGGCAGCCTGGTCTAGTGGAATCTGTTATAAAGTTCTATGATTCTAATTCTCAAAATAAGATTTACAGTAATTTTTTTACTTCAAGTTAATGTCTTATCACATCATATTACAGCTTCCAGCTCCTCCTTCCAGATCCCACTGAGACCAGCAAGATACAAAGTGACACCAGCTTTATTTTTGAACACACGACAATTCCAGATTCCTGCTGTGAACTTTCCAAGCTCATTGCAGTCATCACTGTGTTAGCTTTTCTCCCTGCTTTTGAAGGAAATTTGGAAATGGAGGAAGAAAAGACAATGCCAAAGAAAGCCCAAGAAAACTCTGAGTTTTGATGCTCGGAACTATTGCACCTTC